TTGCGTGTGTTAGAAGTTAATGGAACCTATTAAGCATTTTAATAAGCTCAGCAAGTCTCGAAGAAGGAAGTCAAATAAAGCCTTTTGTGCGGGGGCTGCGCTGACTCCCCCTGAATATCTCTTCTCTTGAATGTCGGCAGGGAGAAGCACTTTGTTCTCCTCCGTCTCCTCTCTTTCTTGCCCTCCTCATTTTCCTCTGCTCCCTTCTCTCTGTTAATTGAGTTTCATTAATGAACATCAGGATTTCATTATGCCACAAAGTGTTTAAGAGCAGGCCCCATCTCGGATTTCCTAATGGTTGTGAGGGTGCATGGGCGAATGTTTTAGCAGCGTCTGAAATGTCTCTGAGTGAAACTAATGCTAAAAACAATACTAATATTCTGAATAATGCTGGACACCACAGTGCTGCATGGAAGGAAACCTCATTATGAAAATGCTGAGAAGAAAAAAAAATGAGAGAGGATTGAGGAGTCTCAAGGTAATAGAGGAAATGCTCTGTTGTTCCGTTTAAAGCACATGAGCAAAACAAAGAAACCGAGTGAGCACTAGCAAAAGCTAAGACCATAGGGGTAGTAAAAGGTAAATCTTAGTAGAAAAGTGAAATGAATATTCTGGTATGTTTGCATTATAAGTTATAAACAATGCCAGCAACAAAAGGCATGTAAGATGTATGATATGCATAAGTAGAGGAAAGAAAGACGACATTTTCACAGTATATCAAATCCAAACATCATGCAGTGCTGCATCGATTCTCCTTAAAGCCATAACGACTGAGGAAATCAATCACAAAGCTCAGATACTCCCATCAAAAAGCTTTTATAACAATGAAAGTGTTGATAAACTAAAATCCATTTTCTACACCTCAAAAGCCTTTGAAATCCTGAAAATATACACTTCAGAAAAAAAATCAGAAGTAATTTAATGGACTGGAGATATTATCTCATTGCTGTGAAAGTGTATAATAATGCATATGATTCAGATATATTTATAATTGTCTGCTCTATTGGATGAAGGGGAAACCAAGCACTGAGTTGGAAGAGCAAGCAGATTAAAACCATTTATTTCCTCCAAGGCATTAAAACACAAACAGCTCTGCCTGTGACGCTGGTCATTCTATTTTCTGTGTTAGTAGTTTTTTTTTTTAATCAGCCTATATTTCATCTTTTATGTAAACTTAGAACATATACTTCCTTAATACACTCAACTATAATGACAAAGTATAGGAAGTTTAGTATAGAGCATGCCATAAACCCTGTAGGCTTTTTCCCATTGCATGTTGTTATTAGTCCTCCAAACTTTGAGGTACTTTGGGTCTGGATTAGATTAAGTCAGACTGGCATATAATCATAAAGTAGAAGAAAATCCATGGATTTGTTTTAAAGAATTTTGTTATAAAAATATGTGGCTTGGATTTGAAATCCAGTGTAACCATTTGCCTTTAGACTGCCTGTTATTAAAGACAATATTTATGTGTAGTAATATTAGAATAAATTAAGCTTTTTGTTATGAATGCTTCAAAAATATATCTGTGAACCTTTTAATGTCATGCCTATTTGCAATAATTCAGTTTTGTCTTCTTATTTCATATAAATAATGTATACAATACAGTATAATTCACACAAAATTCGTTTTTTTAATATTTCCAATAAAATATGTATTTTTCTATCAAATTTTTTTCTAGACTTGGGCTTCACAGTGGTGCATGTATACGACTGTAGCTTTGCACCAAGAAGGTCCTTGGTTTGAATCCTGAAAAAAGGGTATTTTTGCATAGAGATAGAAAAAACAGGCTTGGTAAGAAAAGTATGAAGCAGATAAACAGCCAAGAGATCAGGTTGTTCAGTTGTGAACTTGTGGAGAAAAAGCCAAAAAGGTCCTATGTTCAGTTTGCTAAAAGCCATGTAATACTCAGGAAACATGTGGAAGGAGGGGTTCTGGTTAGATAATTATGCTTGACAAACGTACAACCCAGTCGTTTACAGTACAGCTTTAAGGCCTCTTCCCACTGTCCAAGACCGACAGCCATTTCCTTCCAAGATGTATCCTACAATCTGTTGATAGCGGTGATATTTATTAAAAAATCCCAGGTTTACTTTCACAAACCCTTGCCAGTAGAAGCTGCTGCTCCTCACCATGTTTATCCTTGCGGATCTTTCCACATGGTCACAAATTCTCCTAGGTGTGTAGTGGGGAAATTCTGTCCGCACAGACCTTGCGGACGTATCCAGCATAAACCAAGCTTTAGATCTAAACTGAACTAATAGACCTAGATGAGGCCTGCCTGAAGTCAGCCCTCGAGGGTCGGTAGGTTTTAGATGTTTACCTGCTTCAGCACAGCTGATTTTGATGATTGCAGTTTAGGAAAAGCCTATTTATCAGGTATCAATGAAAATCAGCTGTTCCCTCGAGGGCCTGGATGAAAAACTCTATGTCAAAAATCAACATTACAGTGGAGGAATGGGGGCCTAGTGGATAGGGAATAGAGCTTGGAATCTGGAGGTTCTGAGTTCGAGCCCCACTCCAACAGACTGCCACTCCCTGAGCTAGACCCTTAACCCCACACTGCTCGCCGGGCGCCCCACAATGGCAGCCCACTGCTCCCCAAGGGGATGGGTTAAAGGCAGAGGTAAATTTCTCCAATGTGAGAACAATAGAGTTCAATTATTACTATTGTTATTATCACAGTTGACACTAAATACTTTCTTTTGTCTATCAGGTATAACTTACATAAAACAGTTACAAAGCTAGAACCTTCAAACAAATCTGTTGCATCCGATGGAAATCCAGCATTTCATACAAAGAACATCAGACCATCATGGAGGGCTACAAATACATCTGGATGATTAATTTGTATTTGACAGGGCCATTCCGTTTTTTGGGGGGAGTTTTTATGGCACTAGTGGTTCGTTTTCTTTGACAGTAGGCCAACAGGGGGTATGAGAGAGGGGGAGGACATGCGGCAAAGGTATGTTGACATGTGTGCGTGATAACCACCGCGCCACCGAAACATGCAACAGAAAATCCAGTTTTAAAGAACCAGTCCGTCCATCAGTTCATGACCTTAACCTGGGGAACATTTCGGTAACTATGCAGAACCATTGATCCAAAACACACAGAGAAGTCTCACTCTAAATGGAAAGAAAAGGGAAACTTTGAAGTGGCCTAGTCAAAGTCCAGACTAGAATCTAAATGAAACAATTATTTAAAAAAGAAAATCATAGTTGTCCAAACATCCTTCTGTCAGATTTCACAAGTGCTTTATGGTAGTTGTTGTTATCAAGGGAGGCTCCACCAGATATCAGGCTTATAGGGATTTATAACTTTTTCATGGTGGTTGCCTTCAATAGCTTTTTACCACTTGATAAATTGAAACCATAATATAAAAATAGCCTTTTGTATTGACTCAGGGTAGCTTTATCTGCTACTGAAATAAGTTTGATCGCCTTAAAGACCCAACTGCTAATTAAAGGAAAAAAGTTAATGTATTTAAAGAAATATTTAACATCACATAAATGTGAAAACCTCAAATAAAACACAGCACACTGCACAAAAACAAACCCTTTGATCACACATTCAGTTTGATTTTCATCACAGGTGAGTGTAATTGTCTGCTGGATAAATGCATGCACATCAGTTGTCTGGCTCGACAGTCGGCGTTGCTCTAAATACGTGATAAAGACGACGACGACAGCAGAGCAACACAAGCCATGTCAGGTTGTAATCCCTTGAATTTCTCCCAGAAAAATGAGAGTAAATGTAACAAACTATAGGACATTAGGCCCTGCAGGCAGCAATAGAGGAAACCTGAGGTTTATGTACCACTGGGTTTCTAATGAGATGGGATAATGAAAACATAGAGGTGACGTGAGACCCTGCTGTCATGTGAAATAACTTTATCTGGGTTTTTGAAGCTTCGCTGCTTTTGTTCACCCCCTCTATTTAGAAGCAATGCTTTCTGCCTCCCAGCTATTTGCTTTGACAATTATTGTTGATTTATCAAATACAGACAATAAAGGAACATAAGAATAAACATGCTGTCTTAAACTATAGCATCAGCCTTCCGTCACTGTCTCAACTTGTTAGTCATGTAAACATAAGGAAAATCGAACGTAACAGTTGGGCTTGATACGTTGGCATGTGTTTGGTGCATATATTTCCATCTCACAGTTCTTCATCCGTCCGTTAGCATCTACAGACCTAACAAAAGCAGCAAAGGACACTGAGAAAAGGACATGCGGGGTATTTAAATTTTTAAAACATCATCCCAACTACCGAGCAGCACAATGTACGCTGGATACACAAAGAGAGAGAAGGAGTTAAGTTGAGCTTGATGTGAATGTTTTATAAGATGCCCGAGCCTGGAGTATAAGTGAGACTGGCATTAAGAGCGAGCGGTGGGACAGACAGAAACAGCGAGAATGTAGAGAATTCAGATGTTTCCTCTGATGTGAATATTACATGTCAGTTATCTCCACAAACTGAAGATGTACACTAGCTCTTATTACAAGCCGTTCTTTGGTTAGATGTCTCTCCTCGGGAAAATCATCTTGCATAAAAGGGGAAAAAGGGTGAAGAACACGCAGCTCTAAATGAATCCTCATCTATCTGTCAATACGGATCAACATCTTCCTACTCGTCTGCACTTTTTCCCACGATTTTAAATGAGGAGTCTGTGTTTGGCGTCTGCATAACTAAGTTCACAACAGACAGGATCCATAATATTTTCATTGTGTTTCTTTTGAACTACATCAAACATCAGAAACTTGACCTATACTAATTATAACAGATTATAACACTTAATAAATATAATTGAAAATAATAAAAACAAATTTTATCTAATTTTGATCCTTATGCTAATTGGTCTGGAAATCTTGAAAATGTTACAGTTCAAATAAAGACATAAATGTAAAGAATGTCTTATGTTCTTTCACTTTCGTTCCTTTAAAGGTGATGTTTTGTAAAGCGAAGCAGGTAAACAGCTTAATGAGAAATGTCTGTACCTGCGTAGCAGCAGTTTGGGGTGGTTCTTGCTCTCTAGGTTACGATCGATGAGGTCAGACAGCAGGTGTTTGAGAACATCAGTGGCGTACTCCAGACGCCCCTGCAGGGCCGTCATGATGAGCGAGGCCACGTTGCCGCGGTCTCTCATGGAGAAAGAGCGTTGCATCTCAAGCGTTCGAATGAACGTGAGCAGGAACACTTTGTTGTTGATGAGCTGACCAAACAGCTTCAGGGCCTTCTCTACATTCTGCTGGCCGTTGCCCGACACCTGGAGAGGAAGGAGGAGAGATTGTGAGCCTGATCATCAGAAGGTTTGTGTGTCTTTTAACAGGTGAAAATTAGTTTGAATGCACAGAGCAGATCTTCAAAGAAGGTGCAAAGTGATTTCCTTTTGCAATTCAACAAACACCATGTGCAAAAATAAGCAGAGCATATTCTAATGAGCAAACCCTGTTGATTTATAGGTGGAGGAGGACATTCAAATTCTAATATTTAATGCAAGCATCTTTTGCAATTTTCCAAATCAGAAACTCAGCTGAGGCAGAATAATATCAATAGAGAAAAAAATGTCTAGAGACTGGTAGAGATCCAGTTGGGCCACAAAAAATCCTTATATAGTTAAACCAGATCTAAAAACAAGGGCTGAACTTAAACAATATTAATCATAATATCAATTATAATAATTGAACGTCATTGATCTTCACTTCTGCATCTTAACCCATCCCCTTGGGGAGCAGTGAGCTGCAACTGTGCAGCGCCTGGGGAGCAATCGGGGGTCAAGGGTCTCGCCTTGTCTAATGTCTATGTCTTATTTAACAAAAATTAAAGATTTTAAGCTCATCCCCCCCCCTTCATTTAATACCAAAAGCAACCATGTACAAAGCACGGTTAGGTTTTCTTTTCTTTTTTTTCTGTAGCATTTTGCGGTGCAGTATTATTTAATTCAACATTATCCTTAAGATCATTTCCTCCGTCTCCGTGGCTTTGCTCTTCATCTTTCTTTTACAGACGCTCTCAACCCGCCAGTAGAACATGCAATCAGCTCATTTCAATGGGTGGAACCAAATGTGAATGTCTTAAAATTTGCACTGCAACCCTTGTAGATCACCTGCATCATTCCTTCTTATTGGATGCACACAAAAAAAACTAGAAGAAAACTGCAAATGCAAGTTCTTATTGGGAATCTTTAAGCCAGGTTCTGTTATGTGTGTAAACTAATTGGCCCCAAGCATTACCTTCATAAAGTTTGTTAATAGAACAAACCTTTCTGAAACATCTGGCTCCTCACAGTTTATTGTGACCTTGACTAAACCAAAACATATTACATAAGTCATTAGTGCTATTTTTCTCCAGGCAGGCAGACTTTTAATCATGGTGAGGAACTGAGAAGATGCTAATCAATTATTGACCAGAGAATAAAAATAACTCCTTTTTCTACAAATTTGAAAAGATTATATGGCTCTTTCTGGCTTATTTCTAAAGGAGGAGATTTCTGATCCAATTACTGAGCTACATTTTCATGTTCATTATTATTTCAGGCAGAAACTGCTCCTGACCCAGACTTTTGTTTTATGTTTTTGAGTAAAACCTTTCTCAGACCTTATCCTGATAATAACTATGCACATATCTTTGTTTTCCTTCTATTAGACTTTTTGACTCAGTTTTGATGCAACTATTTCTGCTAATAACTATGTGTACTCCATTATATCATTTCCTTGTTTTATAAATAAAAACACTCCTAGCACAGTGCTTCTCTGTTAAGCTTGTTTCTTTCTTAGATTACACCATAATCTGATTATTATGTATGAAGATGTTTTGCTTCCCATCCAGGAAGCTAAATTAATTCAAAATGTCAGAAATAGCATTGAGCTCAAAGCTTTATAGAGTGGACCAAAGCAAAGCCTTGTTTTGGCTTAGAAAACATGCAAATTGAACCTGACGAACGGGTCCACACCTTAGGAATGGGGGTCGTTTGGTTTCTTTGTTAGCCAGTAATACCCGAAACCTGACTATGTCTCTGAAAGGGGGTCGTTAAAGGGAATTGTTGGCCTGACTGAAGAGGCGAGGTGTTCTAATAGGGCGGGGCTTGCGATGATAGGAGGAAGTAATCAACTAAATCACTGAATTTTAGGTTTTTGAAAACTGAAACCTGAGTCCACCCCCTCTGTTTAAAGTTGGTTGTTCTTTCTTAACATAGATGTCCTCTGTCCATAAGGTGTAGATGTACTGCAGAGTCTTGTCCCGAGGAGGTCGCTCTTTTGTGTTAATTTGAATGTTTCTGAGCCAAGAAAAGGGTTTGCTTTGTACCACTCTATAAAGCCTTCAACTCAACGTTATTTCTACATTTTGAATTGAAAAAGCTCCCTGGATGGGAAGGGAAACGTCTTGTGGATTTTTTTTTTTTTTTACTTTTTTGGAAAGACTATGACCTGGATGACTGAGAATCTTCACCAGCTTACTGTCAACATGCTTCTTTAGAAAGATGAACTGTCTCTTTAAACAGAAACCTGTCTATCAAGTGGAATCAAAAGTTTAAGAGTTTGACTGAATCTTTATTTAGTGCCTTAAGATATGAAATGTTGTTAAATATATGAACTGAACTGAATAGCTCTTCTCAACCTGCCATACAAACTTTAACATTAAGATAACATAATTTGCTTGTAATTATTGAGGACCTCTTGGCAGTGTCCTAATTTAAAGATTGCTTCACATTAAATTAAATCCAACCAAAACAAAAACAAATGAAACAAAAAAAAAAATAAATAAACAGGAAACCAAAGTCATTTCCCAGCACTGCCATTACGGTGTGAGAAGGAGTAAAAAGTATTAAGCGGACAGTTTTTATCTTAGTGGAAGAGGCCACACTCCTGCTTGAGAAGTGGGAATTATTCACTTCATTACCCCTCATACTGCAGCCACTGGTGGATGAAATAGCAATGTGCTGGGACCCTGTTTTCCATGAGGGAGCCTTCATGTGAGGTATATATATATGAGTGTGTGTGTGTGGGTGTATATTCTAGCCTGCATGACTGACTAAGCATACGTGTGAGACCGCAGAGTAGGAAGCATAACTGGCAGACTGGTATCCTTTCTCCCACTGAGCAATTCAGTGGTTATGGAGGTTACGCTACAGCAGGGATGGTGACATGAGACACACTCTGCAGTTCTCCTTGTTTCTTCTAACCTCTCTCTAACCTGCTTTGGCCATTCTTAATGCATTAGCTGCTTTAATGTCTAAGTTATCTTTTGTTCTACTCTTTCCTCAATCTCCACAGTTTGTTACCTCGAGTTCTCTGAGGACGGGATGATCCTCAATGCCGGGGAAGAGGACTCTCATGGCATATGTTCTGTAGTCTAGATGGGGGATACCAGCTCTGTCCAGGTCACTGGTAAGCTCATTGATATCGGTCTGCAACTCTGCAAATGCTGTGGGAAAAAAAAAATACATAAGAAATGCATCTCAGAAATAAAACTGCTCTTTAATCCCAGAGGAGCAAATAAGAGAATCCTTCTTATCTTTATGGTGTTTACTGCACACATGATGAGGAGAAAGCTTAAGATCATCCTCACATCAGAGGCTTTTCACAACTCTCTCTTAAAGAAAAGTGGACTTTCTCACAAACACACCCGCCTCCATTTTTCCTGCTTATTTTTTATCTCCCAGTTGGTAAATTGGCTGTTGCAAAGGCCAAAAAGATTGTGCCAGCTCAGTGTGGGGCTGCAGGTGAGCCCCAGTTAATTGGCTCCTTCCTGACTCAGGCTGCTTGAGGCCCAGGGCTCGGTTGCTCGTCTGGGCTGCCCTTGGGGAGCCTCCCTGCTTGCAGCCTATCACATGAACAGCAGCGGTCCCCTAACCCCCCTCTCTAAACCCTGCTATACAATCTTAGTCCTGGTCTCCTGGCCTCACAGTACCCCTGCGACTTGTAGCAACTTGCAGCGGAACCCAGGCTCCTATCTAAATCCAGCCTGCAAGGCAAGACTCACCTGGTTGCTTAATGGTTAAACATTAATCTTCTGCTTTCCCAAGGCTGAAGGTGTGATTCTCTCTGTTTGCCTACTGTGTGTTGAGCTGCCTGTCTGTCATTTGACAGTTCTCTGCTTTTTTTCCACAGCTTAATAACACCGGGAAAGCTGATCAGGGGCAGCCAGAGGGGACGGCTAACAAGGTCCTCTCTAGCTGATGAAATCCTCTGAAGAATGAAAGACATTGAGCTAATTTTGCAATCTTAATGAGAGGTTATTCTGATCAGTGATTGTTTTGTCCTTGTTAGAAGAGATACCTGTTGGTCATGTCAATAGGGTGAATAGGAGCACTACCTACATGTGAAAAGAGACAAAGTTCATGTTTAATTACTGGGATGTCTGTTTATCCTGGAAAACTTCAGAGAGAGATTTTGGAATGATTAAGAATCTGATATTCAAGATGCTAACAACCAAAGTCATTTCCCAGTCCTTGAATGTACTGGAATAGTACAGTAGAACTCTAATAAGTAAAGGTCAGAGGTCATCATTATGTGGCTAAGCAGAGTTCACATAAATGCGGAGAAAATGTACCTAACATCTAAAGAAGTACAGTATGTCATACCAAGCATTAATAACACATCACATAGAAAACAATACCTTGATACGACTGATAGGAAAGAAGTGGAAAGAAGTTAGAACTTTAGGTGAAGCCTAAAAAACTGGACTAACTTATTAACTTATCATCTAGTTAGAGTAGTTGCCTAAGCGTCTACCCAGTTTCCAGAATATGATGTTCTAAATGCTACCATCCAGAGTTGGAAATTATGGTCAAGGAAAGTAGCACTACTTCATCATATTTTTACTAAATATAGCCATCCAAGCTTTTACTTAAGTAACACTTAAAAAGCAATGGTTATAAAGGCTACTGAAGTATTGAGTACCTTATATATTTGCAACTTATGATTGTAACATCTAAACTGATATTTAAAAAATACAGAGTTACACAAAATATAAAGTTATATACAAACTCTGGTATTTCAAAGAATGATATAAAAATAAACATATAACACGATAATAACACCATAACAATTTAGGGTAGAAGCAACAGTCTCCTTGATATAGTTTCCATTATAAAACTATCTACAGGCTACTTTCACACTGCAGGTCTTAATGCTAATTTATGCTTAATGCTAATTCCTATTTTTTTTGCATGAGTGTTCAAATGACCATCTCATATTGTGTCCTTGAAGTGACACGTGTCCGAAATCATTGTCTATGGATGGATTTAAAGCTGTTAAGCAGTGGAAGTAGCCTGACGATGTAGGAGAAAATGAGGAAACTAAGAGAAAGGAGAAAGAGAGCTATTAATCATGGCTTTTGGAGGGGCAGTTGCAGTGACATCTCTGACGAGAAGTGTGTGGGTGCAGCGTTGTTGTCAATTGACACAACCTGTTACACCTGTTACCGTATGACCCCTCAAGTCTGGTTTAGACTGTTTTATCCGCCTAAATACTGTACATATTAATTGTGAAACATTGTTGTCCCCCACATTGTCTATGTTGTCCTTCATGTTTGTTATTATTTTTTGGTTACGCGCTGTTAGTACAGAGTGACATCATCATCATCATACTAATTCCGATATGGGTTGCTTTGCTGTTCAGACCAATTCTTAAAGATCCAACCTTTATTGGAATTAAAAACACATAAAAATGAGGCCCAGATCTGATTTGAAAAAGTCAGATTCCATTTGACTTGGCCTGTTCACACTGTCATGAAAGAATCTCACCAGAGTCCCTTTACCACAGAAAAATCAGATTGGGGCCACATTTGTCTGGTGTGTAAACTGAGCCATAGTGTACTGGTTAATGTATTTTCGCTTGAAATTAAGTTCAAAAAGGAAGTCTCACTTAAACATAAACTGTAAGGCGTGTCTCTCGGGTTCAATTTTGTTTATAACAAGCTTATTCAATATTGAGCGAAGTTACTCTTAATAGGTAGAGTAGCCAACAGTTTCAAAGCATTAGAAGTAGTGTTACTTTATTATATTGCTTAGTAAACAAAAATAAAATGCAGAAAATCTACTACTAAAAGTATTTTAAAAAGAACGTACTCGTGTAAATGTAACTAAATTCCCCTCCCTGCTATTGTCTGATTTACTGCTTGAGGGGAAGGGTCACAGGCAGTGGTAACTAAATCTGTTAGTCATGATGAAACACTGGCCTGGATTTGGAGATAATTTAACTATTTAATTTAATGTGTGCACACAGACCGGCAGTAAATTACTGTATATTATGCTTGAAAACACATTTGTACTTATGTGATTACTCTAACAAGTCAGTGGAATAAATAGCGCTGCTCAGCACCATTTATATTCATGTTATTGAGCAGATAGTTAAATCATGGTCTATACTGTAATTAGACCATGAAAGGCCTAAAAGATCCATGATTATTGTGTTTTTAAAATCTGACTCTCATTCTGTCCACATGCAGACTGTGCCGGTGTGACACCGACCTTCTTTGCACTCCAAGGCGACGCGCGACTCCAGGTTGTCCATTTGCATCTGCAGGCGCTTCAGGGTGAGATCGTTTTCACGTGACTTCCGCTTGTAGGCGATGAGCACGAGGATGACGATGATGAGGAGGAGGCCGCCTCCTGCGGCGATGCTAACAATGGCGGGAAGGGTCAGGAGGCTGTCAGACATAATGTGCACTGCTCCGGGTGAAACATGGAGGCCTCCGACTTGAACCTGCCAGAGAAGTGGTCAATGGAACGAGATTAAGAGCTAGATTTAAGTGAGACTTTATTCTTACATCTTGAATTAATTTTAACTGTTTCTTTATTATCTTCTCTGCACTGCATCAGGATTGCTACACAGAAACCCATTTTTTTTAAGAGCTAAAGTTAGTATTGTTGCCTCAAACTGACGCTGGGTGTAAACACGACTACCTGTGTGCCGCTGTTGGGAAGGAATTAGTTTGGGGCATGCACTCAATAACGGAGCAAGCAAGTAAAAATAATTGCTGCAGTTTTAGTCGGAACTTTTGGACAGCAGGAGCTGCCCTCCCTTTTGACCTCATTCCCGCAGCTGAATGAGCAATGATGTGAACACAAATAATAGAGTGTAAAGGCCAGGCGCTGAGGAAAAAACACAAATTCAAGGATAAATGGGAAAGATAGAAACACAGAGTGTCAAAGCAGAAGTAAAACACAGCAGGACTGACCACAACTTTGTATTGGCCGGTGAGGTTGGGTGGCTCGCACAGTAGTTGGCTCTCAGACACGGTGACGGAGCAGGGCGTCTCGCCTATCAGTACAGTGTAGTTAAGCTTCGCCCCTCCAGACGTTGGGGGAATCAGGTTTCTGCCCTGTAGGCATATGGATTTAGACAAAAAGGATCAACTGAGACACTGAGACAGACTTCAGAAAAAAAAAAAATCACAGCTTTTTTATGATCCTAAAAAATCCAATCTGCCATCTAATTATAATCCACTGGTTTTGGACGCAGCTGGTGCAGAGTATGGTTTTTAGATCTGACATTGTTAGATGTGTCAAAGTACCACAATAACATATGATCAAGACAAATCACTGAAATGTAATGCTTATAAATTCTGTTCCTACAAAAGAATAAAAAAAAAAATATCATGAAAATTAGCTTTTGCCCCAATCCAGTAAAAGATAACAAGAACAAGAAAAGTTTTGAATAAAGATACAGATGTAAGTCAGTGTGGGAGGTTCAAACAATGGTTTACCATCTCTTTCCACCATTAGCTGCTGTATTTACAGCCAGAAGTGATTTGCATTAAGTCTGTACAAGCTTTGTCATCTAGGCACTGACATGTTTTATAGTATTCTTGGCACAAAAGCGTAGGCTTAAATTTGGATTGTGTCTTGATAGGATTTAGGTTTGAACTTTGGGTCTTTTTTAACAATTGTTCTAAAATGTGCTTTGAAGCTCCAGCAGATGTTTGGGCTCAGGGAAAGTGAACCCCTCTTCTCTGCAGCCTCTAACATATCTTCTACAGAGATGCCTTGCATACAGGCTTATATTGTTCAATCACCTCTAGATAGCTTGCCTGCCCATGCTTGATATACTCAACCTTACAATAAGATGCTGCTAGCAGATTTCAATCCTGTATCTACAGTCTTCCAACATAGAACTGTATCCCAGCAGCTCCTTCAGCATTACCATGATTCTGTTCAGGTGGTTAGCCATGTTTTGAGAGTTTAGTTGTAAATCATTTCCACATGATGGATTGCTCTTCTCTGAGAGATTTTCAAGGACTGGGGTTGTATTCATATGTGTTAACCCTTATTTAAACTTAAGCATAATCTGATCCCTGACCAGTCACTGTATTCACTGGTCTTCATTATTTCTTTAGAGTTTTATAACATGAAAAAATCTGAAAACACGCAGGGGTCGGAAATTTCTTTTCAAAGCATTGCAGATGCAAAACATGTCTTTTCTAAAACTTTACCTTGAGAATGATTGGAGAACCTGGCTTTTGCTCCAGGACACCAGAGGTGCTGAGGGGTTCAAAAAAAGGGTTTGGGTAGTATACGAGGTTAGTGTTGTTGTAGACCAACAGCGCCTGGACGTTGTTGAAGACGAAGCCAAACTCGTCGGCGTGTTTCACAGAGTCCAAACCCGGGAAGTATTCCGCCATGAGGGAGGGGGCGAAGCAGCTCATAGTGGTGCTGTTCAGTCCTTTACACACCTGGAAACAAATCAGGTTGTGACTCTAACATTTGTATGACAACAAACTTATTGTAAATGCAATAGCTAGATCCTTTCTAAAATAACCTTTTTCTTTTAACCAAAGCTGTGATTTTTTAAAAGTCAGACACTTCAGTAGTCTTACTCCACAGTGAATCAACCAGCCAAATAATTGACACATAAAAATCCAGAATCTTTTCAGGAAAAAGGATTTACTTGCTGCCATTAAATCCATCTTTATTGTGGAGGGAGCCTCCATAAAACCGGAAATAAATCGCCGCAATTGCCTCACTTTAAAACACTTGAGGGCAACAACCACAAAAGGATGGAGGCTTTGCTCCTCCATCTCCAGGTAAAGCTTGAGCCATGGTTCTTTTATTACTTCTCTGCAGTTTGCGTAGATGTGAAAGCTGCCTTCCATTCATCCTCCCTGGCTCAGCAGCAGAGAGAAAGAGACGGGATTGATTGCAGCACAGCACTCTGCTTGCAGAGGTTTTTTATCTCCTTTCACTCCCTTCCAGCTTTCTCTCAGGGGAAAAAACTTAATTAGAGCTAAATATCATCAAAGATAGCGAACGGCAGCAAGTACCACACCTCTTACCTGTTGTCTGCTGCTGTGGAGAAAGCGAGGGAGATCGATGCAAACTCATCTATGTAAGGTACACCGATTGGATTTTGCCAGCATGAGGTAAGGCGAGCTGCTGCAGCACAATTGAGGGAAGGGACTGGCATCCTTGCAAACTCACTTTTGGACTAAAACTTGATAGTTTTTGAAGTTTTTCATGCCCTGAGACCAATGTACCTCAAACAGCAGCAATTTAATACCTCAGTAAGTAAACAATAGGGTTGTTTGCCTTTATAAAGGTTTTAAAAAGTCATTTAAAAATCCTATGTAAAAAATACAATCTGTCATTCCTTCAGGGAAAAAATCAGCAATAAGATACCAAACCCGAAATAACTACAGTTTCCTCTCCCCAACCACTGAGTGCATCTAGCAGAAAAACACTGATACAGATTTATCTTCCATAGAAAAAGGACCTATGTGGCTCTTGGTTCTGAAATATTACTGGTTCTGGAACGCATAACGAGTCAAGACGTGAAAACTAAGAAAATACTGCTATTATAAAGGTTAGTCGGATTTATAACAACACTTGGGATGATATAAGCATGTCTAGTAAGGAGCTCAGCCAGTAGTATTCTGTATAAAACATAACAGCAATAAGGAAAAATATATTCTACTCAATAAGCATAACTTTTTTTTTTGCTTTAGTCCAGTGGTTAACAACAGAAATATCACTTCAGTTGAATCTTCTACAGGAGAGGGAATTTAATATTGCAAAAGACTTTAAACTTTTTCATTTTGGGATTTATATCAGCAAGATATACCATCAAAAACATCCATTACCATTGCTTGATTGGTTGAAGGTTAAATCTTTAAAAAGTTGAATTTAAATTCACTGGAAATGTGTGGCATCTCTCTCTAAGCTTGACCTCAGTGTTTAATGCGGCTCTTTTGGGTAAGAAATGAATTTTTATGGCAGTAATGTGGAATGATGGCCAACTGGTTCTAGCAGTGCGCTTGTGCTCTGAGAATGTTAGAAATACCTGGTTTCGATCCCCACAGCCTTCACTCTGGGTCCCTGAGCAAGACCGTTAACCCCACACTGCTCCCTTTATGCCGCACAGTGGCATCCCACTGCTCGCCACGGGAATCGGTTTAATGCTGAGGTAAATTTCTCCAATATGGTTCCCTGAAGTGACAATATTTTAACTTACATAATTAGAAATGCTATTCTTGCAGCATAATTAACTGTTTTCTGTTTAAAGAAAAGATATTAGATTAAGTAGGTTTTTTTAATGACTACTGTGATATGATATGTTATCTATTTAAGGATATTATTTTTAAGCCATCTTAACAGCCGTCCATGCAAAATATTTAACCCTCTTTAAATGTTTGCCACTGGTTTCCCATTTTACACTCATCAATCTGTTGCATTGTTTGCCCAACAATAAAGGAATACTAGATGTCCAGTGTAGTGCATTTAAAAAAAGTAGTAAATATGTGAAAAAAATACTTTATTTTTATTTTATCATTCATGATGAAGCTTCCATTATTGAACTAGATCTTTAAGCATCTTAGCACAACTCCTTCACATGTCTTGCCCTCATTTCATAAGCTTACAGCTCAGTTGAAGGTGTAACTGCACCAACCAGCTCTCACTTGTTGGAAATTACTTTCCCTGGACTTGGCATTTTTATATTTCTGCTTCCCACTTTTACAAGCTGGAATATTTGCAGAAGCGCATGAGGAGAGCGAGAAAGATATGCTATTTTTAAAAATAGATCCCAGAGCCAGATAGGGCTCCTGACGCACTCTCAGCAAGTTTTTGGTTCTGTGAAATCACATTAACAAGTGAAAAGTTATGAGAAGAGATCAAAGTTAATCAGGATTTTACACCAGCTTTTGCATGCATGGACACTACTTTGCAGTGTACCAGGAGCAATTAATGTAATCTGAACCACATTGTTCCAGAGCTATAAGACATTCATCTCTCTTTTTTTAGTTCACTGCCAGAACAAAGAAGGCTGCTCAGAAATGACTTTCAGTTCTAATTCTTATAATGGACTATATCATTAGCAAAGCTTTCAAGTGATGTTCATAAGGCCATCCAAGTCGGTGTTACTGTTTTTTGCACATATGGTGTGAGGACTTTATGTTACAGGACACTCAAACAGGGCAAATGAGTCAGTAGGCGAGTGTCTTATTTTGATGAGTAAAGAGACATTGGAGGTTTAACGGCTGAAAATCCTCTGGTTCATCAGCTTCATTCTCGCTGTTGGCATAGTGACATGTTGTATAGACGAGCCCAGATGCTCCGACAGGATCCTCGTGACTGTAACATTGGAACAGCAGGACATTTGCAAGTCAACTAAAGCTCCGACTACCATCTGCTCTGCCGGAGAGGGATACTGGGCTTTTTTTTTTTTTTCCCCTCTACTGTCCTTGTCCTCTTTCCAATTTTTTCCAAAAATCTTTTGCGTTCACTGAATCCTGTCAGGAGTCAAAAAACTGCAGCCATCATCATGTAGGATGGTTTCTAGAGCTGTTAGAGTGTAAATCCAAAGGGAAGAGTGATGAAAATAGACAGGCTGCTTATGGCACTGTGGGACTGGTTGCAGAAAATGGAACACTACGTTACATTTAGGAAGCGACAAGGAAGAGCTAAATTTAAAGCACAGGAGCACAAACATGAACACTGAGGACAATATTATGAGCTGTTACCACTAAAGATCCAACCAGTAGTAGGGTGTAGCTGGCCTTCACTTAATTTATGATGGCCTAAAAAGAAACTCAAAACATTTCATTTCAAAGAGAGAATTCCCCATTTAAAGAAATCATCTGGGTTTATTTGTATCATTTTCTTCCATGTGGAAGTTGTAAGGCCTAGTGCAGAAAAAGAGAGCATAAAGTTAGCTGTTATGACAATGACTTCATTATTTAAATTTAATCCATAAGAAGAGGTGAGATTTTAGCTCTTTCAGTGGAAACTGTATTTATTTCAACCCCTTATCCCTGAGTTTATACTTAGTTGTACAAAAAGTTTATTTTTTGTATTTTTTGCTCTAAGATTTTAAATTAAATTAGTGCAAATTTGGGTATGAAGCTAATTGGTGACACTAGGCATCCAGGGAAGTATTTTATTAAAGCTGTTTATCTCAGACAAAATAATATTATTTTATTTTATTGAATTATTTACTAATAAGTCAAAAACATATGTTTGTGAAAAAACACTTTTTATTATCCAAGCATTTCAAATTGATGTAAGTCGTGCAAAGTCAACTCTTTACACAGTCCCAAGAGCTTTCTTTGCAATAAGACAACAGAGTTAGAAAATGGAATAATGTTAGAAATTGATCTATGACGTGTTTCTTTGAAAAATCCTTAGGTTTTTATTATTACTTTGTTTCAGATTTAGCAAAATACTGGATCCTTTCTTTGTTGCACTTTCCTATTAGCTGCTAAACCATTTTTTAATACTGTATAATAAGTGTCAGAGATGTAATCAAAACATTTGTTTTTTTGACAACAATTGCTTTTTTTGTTACCCAGTGTTTCACATTCAGCTAAATATTGAAAAATCCCTTTACTATATAACCCTATATCGCTATTTTTATTTCCATCTTTCATGAATCAATATTTTATTATGGTATGAAATTATATGGTTTAATGTTCATTCCTAAGTATTTTTTCATAATTTTACATGATCATTGAATTAGATTTCACATAATAAAAATTTAAGTATTTTAGTGGCATTTTCTATAATCATAATTAAATGACACACATGACTAACTTTACTAATCTGCATTCCTTAATTGTCTAGTGAAGCTAAAATGCTTCAAACTAAAATTCAGAATTTACTTTAGGAATTTTGCTCAGACATTGTCTATCATTACTTATCAGTTGTAAAAGACATCATAAGCCTTTGTTTTTTTTTAAGTGTGCAACTTAATTCAGATTTAGAAATTTTACCAATTGTATCAGCCAAATTCTATGTGGTCTCACAGAGCATGGATCCTGTTTATAATAATAATAAAAAACGCAGCACTGTCAATAAAAAAATCCAAAACACAGAATAAGGCCCTTTTTAAACATATAAAAGCTGGGACAGGGAAATTATAAAAAAAAAAAAGTTGTATATAAAAGCATGTAAGAACAAAAAATAAAGTTAAGAATATTAATTATTTAAAGAAAAAACTCGTTTTCTAGCTCTGCTAATCATAGTGTACGATGCCAAAGTTTGCTTAGTATGGGAACCTTATCATTACTACACCAGCTCTCTGACATCAGAGCAGCTCTACATCTCATCTGCTCCTAACATGAATAATTAATGAGCATTCAAGGCAGAAAGGTTTTTAAAAAGTATTAGAAATGCTGTTCATATGTCTTCTCATAGAATAAAGAAAAATCTGAACCAAACAGTTTTACAAAGTACTGGAAGT